ATATATATATATTATATTTATATATTTATATTTATATAAATTACAAAATATTTTTGACTGATATATAACTTCTGCTACTACTTATAGTCAAACACATATTTCTTCTCGAAGTGATCACATAAAGAAAGTTGCTTGACGGAAGGACTTTGAACCGAGCATCCGCCCATGACATATCGATACACCAACGATCGAATTAGAAGCGCTAAAAAAAAAGGTAGAACAAAGAAGGCTCAGCATAATTACGGAGCGAAACGCGTGGACGCCTGCGGGGCCGGCTTTACGTATACGACCGTCTTACGGTCGTAAATAAAACTATTTATGAGCGCGTCCACGTCGTAGGCAAGTATGTATATACGTATTCCCCGTAATTATGTGCCGCAGCGACGAAAGGATCCGTGAAGTATCCGGCTTTGATGAATTAGACCAATTCGCGGAAGCGTGTGTGTTCGACGCGACGACAGAGCCGCGAGCACGCGAAGATCGATTAGCGTGCATCGATGGGATACGATCGAAACGCGGCATGGTAATCGATCGTGTTCCATGCCCGATTTATAACGATTTTTCATGCGTAATAAAAGGGGAAAAAACATCGCTGAATGATAGCTCATCAAACGTGGGCGCGAAATCGGCGAGAAACAATTTTACGTAACAGGCTTCTCTCAATTCCTTGATGTTTTTCAGAAATTAAAAAAAAAATATTCCATCGATAAAACGTTTTATAACATCTGATAAAATTTAGTTCTTCAATTAATTTAAATCTACGCGATTACAAATTTTGGTAAGATTCCGAAAGCGAATCTAAGGACGAGAAAATGTTTGAAATTTATTCTGCTTGTACATAAAACAATATCATTTTTCAAATATCATCAAAAAATTATTTCGAAATAATATCTATTCTAATTGCATCTATACAAATATGTATTTATACTTATTACTATTTTATTATTACTATTTATACTTAATCTATACAAATTGCAACTCGGTTGATCGAAAAAAGTTTATATTTGCTATACATTACTATATAATAATTATATTAATATGTAATGTTAAAAATAATTTAGTTTCTTCAATTTTACCATAGTGATTGCGTAAAAATATTTTTATTCAGGTCATATCCGTAATAAAATAATAAAACATAAAATTTACGATTGTGGAATGCAGAAATAAATGTCTTTTTTTAAATTGGAATACAAGAATTTATTGTCCGACATCAAAAATACATAATATTATAGATTCTTGATCTATTTTACACTTACTTCTATTTGTTCTTTAAAATTTAAAAAGTAAAACAAATCGTTTTTTGTCTGTTTGTGTTATAATTTTTTTTTGCTATAGAACATCTAAAATTAAGACAAAAAAAGTTTCAACTTTCAAAAATTATATTAAACAATGCATAGAATTAGCAATATGTCTTTTAAAATATTTATAAAACATAATTACATATTTTGAAATTCTCTAAAAGGCTATATAACAATCTTTATTTTTGAGAAAAAAAATTTTGATATTTTTCCATATCTACAGAATATCGAAATAATTTATTTAATATAATAATCCTCTTTCTTTCAAAATCTTGCATTTTAATTTTTTAATTTTTAAGTACATATTAATAAGTTATACACAGATTTTTATATAATATAAATATTTATTTTTCTTACTCAATTAAATCTACAGTAAAAAATATTTTTTACAAGGTAAGATTTACAAAATTTATAAAATAATATCTTATATTTATATACATATGTTCATAATGAAAGCTATATTGAGAAATATGTTGTTGCGAGAAGTATTATAGAAACTTAAAAAATTCCATCGATGTCAAAGTTAAAATAAATCTGGAACATTTAATGGCACGCACATAATTCGATATAATTTCATATTTTTTTATTTATTTTTTAAATTAGTGTCTAAATATTGCAATTTTAATTTCAAAATCTTTAAAATACGTCAATATTTTCATTAAAAAAATTCTCTTATAATAATTCTCATATATACAACAAATTTGTACATTTTAAGATGATAAATGTTTCTGTTTGGCAAGTATTTTGCCTATTACAGCGGTATCGTTTGGATAATATTTTCTTAAGCTCGCATTCGGTACGTAATAAGTACCTTTGAATCTAGAGAAGAATCTTCCAATTCCTACGTTATCAATCATCCTTGGTGGACGTATCAATAATTGATCTAAAATAAAAAAGATACATTTTACAATGAACAGAAGAAGATCATAAAACACATATGTAATTTATAAAAATGTTACTATTATTTATAATAATTATGTTATTTATAATAATCATAGCTTGTTGCACATAACATATTATATTATTCTTGGTGAGAATGATGTAGTGAGGTTGATGGGCACTGTCCGAAAATTTTTTACATATGCAAATGTGATAATGTCCATTGAATTGCCGTAGATATGGGAACATAATACTCTTTTCCAATTTATCTTGGAGCATTCTGTCACATTCATGATGCCATCAAATGATTACGCCGTCATGATTATTATAAGAATAACCGTGCCATGCATTGTTACAATCATTCAAACGGCAAATTTATTCTTTTTTGGCCTTCTTTTTAAACGTTTCTTCACTACAGTGTTCGATCTAATCTATGGAAACGTAACAGCAAAATTCAATCGATATCTTGTCACACAAGCAATTTTTAAAATAATGTAATATAACTTAAGTTAATATATTAAATTACATTATACGATGTGTTATAAACTACCTCTATTGTATTTGTAATATTTTTGTATTCATTTTCAATATATATCGTCTCAATATTTTTTAAAATGACAATAAAATAGGAAATTCAAAAAGATGTTGAAATTCCAATCGCAATGTATATTAAGATATCCTAGTTATATAGAAAGTATGATAGAAATTTCTCATCATCTCTCTTGTTATCTAAAAAAACAGAAATGTAAAAAAATTTCAATTATAGACAAAAAATAAAAAGAATACTTTCACTTATTGATTTGAAATGTATTTGAGACTCATTAAATTAACGTGTTATTTACAAGATTTATAAATGAGTGTTATATTTATTAATTATCGTTAAAATTAATATAAAAAATTAAATATAAAAAATTACCAACCCAAATATAATTTGATGGCTCCATCAGTGAAGAACAATTATTCTGATATCTCCTTCTGATAATATTCAATGGATAAAGTAGATAGGAATTCTGGCTCATATAAAAGTACTTTGCATTATTGTCTGTATTACTAAGAATAAAAAAAGATAATTTTATATACATATATGCGTTTAAACATATAGAATGTTCATTGTAATTAATATTCATAATTTCTCTGGTATTTGCAATTGTTTCGGACTCACTCGAGGTTTTCCGCGAGCGGTCGAGAATACCGGGATTACCCTGATCGGGGCGCAAAACGGTCGAAGATGGCGCGAAGGGCGCGGGCAAACGGGTTAACGGGAGCTAATAATAAATCACTGATGTGGTCCACGCAATATATATTGACAATAAAAGAGCACTCTTAACTACAAACGAGCAGAATTGGGAAAATAAGTATTTAATTTGAACATAAAGAAAAGAGAGAGTTGATCCGGTCCGGCTATCGCGGCTAGTTATGCGACGCACATGCGTATATACACGAGTATGACCTTATCAGTTTGGATTTGGATGGCATCGCCAAGATTAGGACAAGGTCACCTTGAATATTTTTAATGGAAACCCCTACTTTTTATTACATATTCTTGTAGCCCTTATTGAAATCTTTTCAAAACATTATAATAAAGTATTTTTTTATTAAGTATTTTTCGAGTTATTTGATATCTTAATTTGACATATTTTGATATAAAAAATAAAATATCTTGTAAAATATTTAGTTTTCGATAATCTTACCGTAATACTTTTATGTACA